ATCAAACCATTTAGATTGTGTGTAGAGCACAGAAAATGCCATATTCAGGATGGTACTAAAAGTGCCATTTGTGTATTTTATGGACGTCATTACAGGGGAAACTTCTCTCTGTAGGCCCTGTTTACTGCAAAATTTTTTAGTCTATAATGACATTTTTCATTCACAACGTACGCCTTCAAGAGAGGGGGGCCTGGCTTTATTTGTTTCATCTGAGTTTACTGCACAAATTCTGTACATTTTAATTAAATGTAAGCTTAACAAAAGCATAAGATATTTATTCTGTGAGGAGAAAAATGATGACAGTAACAAACGAATAACACACACACACACACACACACACACACACACACCCAGAAGGAAAGAGTCACATGCTCAACCCTGTGTAGCTCCCCAGAAGCACGGGTCCGAGTCTCTGCTCCTGCACGACAGGGGGGTGGGTATGTGTTTCAACTCTGGAGATGTTCTCATCAAAAGGGACAAGTAAGAAGGACTTGAACCCCATGGTCTCCTGGAGAAGAAGGGAGCCGAATGAGAAAGCATTTCCCTGCGACCAAATCCTCAGCTCCCCCAAAATACCCTTTCTATTTCAACCAGGTTGTAAACTTCCAATGCATTTAGCTCTGAGGAGGCAGTAAAATATCTGTGCGCTCGGGAGAGCAAACAAGCAGGGAGCTGGGATTTCATAAACAGGCACCAGGCTGCATCTTAATGGCGTTTGCACCTTCTACACAAAGCTACTCACTGTCCTGCTGGAAACAGATCCCCAAAAGACTGATTTAGACCCGCTATTTGAGTAGCCGCTGTTAGCATGCTGAAGTCTGGCATTGCCTTTGAAGAAACGTACGTGTGATACAGATACCATGCTGGGCACCCGTGTTCCATGAAAGATCTGTGCAGCTCTGGGGCCATAAGAGCACCTAAGCAGTTAAGGATAAAACCTGTGCAAACTTCCTGTGTCCCAGATGCTGTGTGCATTTGGCCATTTGCATTGGTGGGGTTTACAGTTAGTATTTACCAGAAAGATCTCAAAAATTGAAGTTGATGTGCCCAGTAAATTCCTGGCCGTAGCCCGGTTGGAATTTAAAGTTACAGTGGAGATTCACATTCGTTTAAATGACACTTGAACTTCTACATAGCTCAACATTAATTCATTATGGGCGAAATGGAAGAATCTTCAGTGGGTGAATCTTTTTCAATCTGATTGAGGCTGTTACATTTTATAGGTGCTATTTTTCAAAGCAGTACTGACAGCACTCGAAGTTATTAAATTGCTGAATCAAAGATGGACCCGCAGTCGCATTTATGAACTGTGATGGAATAGCTGGGCTCGCGCCGAGCCGAGGTTGAGATGTTGGTGTTGCCAAGCCTCATCACACCCCGTAGTGACAGCCGTCTGTGCCCCGTAGTTTACTCTAATGGTCTGGAAGTGGCTTAACCCACCCCTGGATTCAAATAAATTTGGTCAGTGGTTCAGAATAGCGTAATTATCAGTGTGCAAGGGATTCAGAGGCTAATCCTACTCCCCAGAGATTAGGCATCCGGTTGCAGACTAAAGAAGGGAGCTGCTTGTGCTCAAACGTGAGAAAACTGAATAGGATGTCTGTTCTCTTCCAGTTGCAGCGGTGCCTCCTTTTATGATGTGGAGCGGTATGTCCTTTTCTGTAATCCGGGACGGGAGGTGATTTGAAGGTTGCCTTCTTTCTGTTTTGTATCCATGTTTCTCTCTTTTTATTTTTTTAACCTCCCAACTCTAAACTGAAAATGACCTTGGAATAGGAGAATGGACAGAAGCCAACTGCATCAAGTTCAGAGGGTACCGAAGGCACACGGGGTGTTCCATCCGAGGCAGAAAAGTGAAGGGCCAGAGAGGAACTGTAGGCATACCAGAGCAAGGCTCTGGCCAGCTCGGCAGACAGGAGATCTCGGGGTCCTGGTGGGCGGCACGTTGAACAGAGAGGGCGGAACCCCAGGCACACGCGGAGGTGTGCATGTTGGAGCTCACGGAGCGCCCACCGTGGGGTCAGGCCTCCTGCTCCTGCTCTGAGCCCAGTCCTGACCTCCTTGAGGAGAGAGAATGCAGGAGGATTAAAGTTCAGAACATGCGCCCGAGATTAGGTAAAGCGTAAGCGGGGTGATTCGCCCCTTCTAGGATCTGTGTGCTTTACCTTAATCTTGTGCTTATCCTCAGACCCTTAATCCTCCTGAGGGCCCCAGGGTGAAGGGTGTATTTTCCTTTTGTAAAGTAGAAGGGTGACGGTGAAGGTTGCTTTAAACACACCTGGCCAAGACTCTCCATCGCTCAAGTCACCTCTGAAAGGCGGCGGGGCCCCTGCAGTAGGAGACCCCCGCTGCCCTGCGCCCTGCGCCGCCTGCCGCCGAGCCGGAGCCTGCTTCCTGGGTCCAGCCGTGCCCCTTTCCTAGGAGGGCAAACGTAGGAGGGGCGCATATAGTTAGGGAGGTCACTTCATCAGAGTCAGTGACATTTGGTCCCTTCTGTGGGAATGTTTGGATGCCTTTTAAGCTATGATGGTTTACATTTGCCCGGCTGGTTCAGCCGCCGTGGTCCTCCCAACCCTGCCGCCCAGCTGCGAGGCACCGTGTCCCATAATCTCTGATTGAGTGAACGGGAGGCTCTGCTCCTGGGGACCCCGCAGCTCTTTTCCCGACCTCAAAGTCTGTGATTCTGTGATCTTTCTAAGATCACACTCTAGAGAGTTCTCTGAGAAAGAATAAATGTTAATTGGTCCTGATCTTTGTTTACAAAAATGGATTACTTATACATTTGACTTTCTCACTGGGAATCAGAGCTTCGGGGACTGAAAGCTCGTGGTGGACAGAAAATCAAACCCGAGAACCCGCCCTGAGCCCCAGCGCAGGCCGGCCAGCACCGCTGGGACGCGCCTCCGGCCCCCCGCCCTGCCGAGTGGGAAGCCCCCTCTGGCCTCAGAAGTTAAGGGGGCTGCGGTGGCGTGACTTCCTGAGAATGCAGAGCAGTGAACAAGTGGATGCAGAGTGTTAAGCATCACAGCAGCACACATGGAACAGGCTGGGAGCTGGCATTTTTATAACTTCACACGTGACTCCCAATCCGGGACCATTGCCTACGGTCTGGATATGAGCCCGGATGTGTCCTCTTGGTAAATATGATTTAACAGCTTCTGGGGAGCCTGTCTGAGATACTGTGCCCGCCGGAAGGCGGGCCTTGTCTGCGGCTGTGCCCAGAGTGGTCTCTGTATTGAAAGAAATGCTTTCTTGCAGAATGGTGCCAACGCGTACACAACATTGTCCTATTTTTAAGGGACGTTGGCAATAATAATCTAACAATCCCTAGTCCTTCTTTCTCCGTTGGTAAGGACAAAGTGTACTTTTTTAAAGAAAAGGACCCACATTAAAGAGAGTAAAGTGGAATATTTCAAAAATATGTTTGCCACTGAGAGAAGGAAGTAGCTAAATCATTCATAGATCACTCTCTTAGGAGGGAAGGAGGCGACAATAAGACAGAAAATTGGGAATTTAAAGGAGAAAATAGGAACTCTGTTTAAAGAGTTCTTCTTTATGAAAACAAAGATGACAATTTTTACTCGTACTCCCCCCACCCCGCCAAGTTATTAACCGAGCGTCACCGGCGTCACAGGTGGGGCTGGGGGATGGCTGTGCACGCGCCCTGCCTTCGTGGCGCCCACCCCTCGCCTCTCACTCTCTCCTGCCCCCTCCCCTCCCACCCTGGGCTCCGCGGCCAGAGCCTTCTTCCTTTAAGAGGGGCCAGCTCGGGGCTGCAGCCCCGGAATCTGTAAGATGGGCTTGAAACTGGCGGCAGCCCCAGGCCATCCGGGGCCGCTCCGCCTTCCTGGGCGGGTGTCCAGACTACAGACCGCAGACTGGGAAGGACAGTGGCCGCCTGTTGGGATCCTCCAATGGGCAGATGCGTCCGGCAGCCTGCAAGCTCTCTTCCCAGGCCTGCCCTCCTTTGGGCTCTCCTGCCCTGTGTGTTTTGCTTATGCCCACGTCCAAGGGCTTGTCGCTGCATTTTCTGAAACAATCACAGCGTTTTCATTTCCACTAAGAGGAGTTTGGGGCTAGTGTTTACGAGACCTCTGTCCCAGGTCTGAGATGGATGCACTCATTTTACTTCCCTGCTTACAGACACTTAACAGCTTTCTTCTCTCCACAGACTGTGGTCCAGACGCCTTGGTCAGAGGAGGCCAGAGAGCCTGGCTGGGCTGAGCTGTCTGGTCCCCACAGGCCAGCCTGGCCACCCCAAGTGCAGAGGCTCCTCCGACTGCTCAGCCGCTCCTTGGACCTGGGCTGCTCCATCTTCAGGCCCTCCCCACAACCCCCGGGGAGAGCTTGAACACTCCTGGCCCTCCGGGCCGGCTGTGCATCTTGTTTCCTCTGTTCTTCTTGCTCAGTGTGTTTATTCTCTGCCATAGTCCTACTCACCCCACGTGATAGTTAAGTCATTCAACAAACGCGTCTTTGCTGAACGTTGGCTGCACGCCAGGCAGTTGGCCAGAGGTCAGGGCGATAAAGCGGAATCAGTTGTCAGGGCTGCGCACTCCTTTCTGCCCTGGACGGCGGAGACCCTTTGTCTCTGCTCCATGCACAGCTCAATTTTTGTTTTCTGTCCAATAAACAAATATGCTGTATCTAATATTTGGATGATGGAAAAAGATTTTCCTTTGGGTTAGACAATACTGCCACTGACTGTTAGTGATCTTCACTGACTGAGTGTCTTGTTAGAAATGGCAGCAGTTGCAGGGAGTTGACCGTATTCCTTCCGTAGGAGCTGGGAGTGGACCAGCGGCCGATGGGGCTGTATCTGGGCAGTCAGACCAGGAGCACCTGTCAGAGTCCACATGCGCCGCGACCCCTGAAGGCACCTGAGTCGTGGGTCACAATGATGTTTCTGTGGAAGTTTTAAAGCTTCTACAGAAGAACTGTCTTACTTTTAAGCCTAAAAGTCATTTGTCTAGGCTCTAACTGGTCCCTGTCTCCCACAGGCATTGTGTCCAAGTCCTACGAGTGCCGTCTGAAGGGCCAAGGAGCCACCTTCGTGGAGACAGACAGCCCCTTCACCGCGGCCGCCCTGGCGGAGGAGTCTCCGGTCAAAGACCGGCCCCTGCGGGGCAGCAGGAGGCCAGCAGCGCCGCCCGAGCCGGTCCAGCAGGTCATTATCATCCAGGGCTACGACGGCGAGTTCGCCCTGGATGCCTCGGTGGAGGAGACGGCGGCGGCCACACTGCAGACGCTGGCGCTGGCCGGCCAGGTGGCCCGGGTGGTGCACATCACGGAAGAC